GAACCGGTTCTAAAATGGAACCGGTTTTCGATACCCAACCCTAATAATAAATAAAAATTATATCCCAGATATGTTTGCTTAGTAAGGTGAATATTATATTATATTATTTTATATTATATTTAGTAACACAATAAGTTGTAGGCATTTTGCATTTCGTGCATAAATTCAAATGGACAAAATAAAGTGTTACTAAGGACCATCTTTAAGCCAGTAGTTGAGACAACCTAAAAACTTAAATGCATCATGTTGAATTTGTCAGTTTGGCAGTGTTGACTGGTTAAGTCATTCTTACCATGGGTGTAGGTTTCTTTGTAAGTGGCAATCTCCTGTTAGAAAACAAAAAGTAGTAAATGACTTCATGGACAAACATTTGCCCCAGCTTTGGGAATGGTGACAAACACAGGAACTCGCAGAGCCTTTTCATTCAAAACAAACTGACATACAGCATTGGTAGAAGTGCACAGAATCTCCACCAGGATATCCTCGTCTGTGCCAGCGCCCTTCATGGCCTTCCTGAGCTCTTTAACTGCAAACACGTGAGGAGGATCCAACATGGCAATAATGGCATTCTCAAAATTACCAGTCAGCTCACTCTTCAAAACCTCCACCAGTTCCTTCAGAGAAAACACAAATCTGTGAAGGCATGCTCTTTATTCTTAAAAACTATTTCAGTGATGTTTTCAGAATACTCACATCATCATATTTGTCAAAGTATGCTTGCTTGATCTCCAGTCTCTGAGCTGCACTTCGATTGGCAAGGATGTCTATGATGGCTTGCTCATCAGTTCCTTGAAAATTAAATAGAAAGACCACAAAAATAAATAGTCCAGTAAATAGCAGACTAACTATAACTGCATGTAGAACTGTAATTGTACGGTATATTCATTTAATAAACATACTGAACGCTAATTCAAGTGTAAGACTGACTTAAGCATCTCACCTAAACCTTTGCAGGCTTTGCGAATGGCCTTTATGTCAGCAACGACATCAAAGTCTTCATAAGGAACAACGGTTGGCTGTCAAATAAAACCAAGAAGAATCATTTCCAATGTTCATTATGTTTGATCCTGTTCACAATCAATTACGTAATACTTAATAATTAAGTAATACAAGCCCAGATCACTAAATTCATGTTTTAGCATTCAACAGTTGTGAGTTTGACCTTGCCTTAACACTAAAAGTCATTATGATTAGTTGAGGTAACTCTATTAAATATTGACCATAATATCAAACTTAATATAACAAATATTTCAACTACTCTTGCTGTAGCAAATATTTAAATGTCACTGTTTATTATTACTGAAACATTCCAGAAATAATTTCTTGCCGCTGTGTTATGATTAGTTGAAATGAGTTAAATCCTATTTATTAAAATGTATTGATAAGTTAAGCAGAGAAGTTTCATCTAGATACTTCCATAAAATAGGCCTAATTGTTTTTTTGTTTTTTTTACATATTTTAAAGATTTAAAAGTCCCTATATATACATATAATTGTATT